ATAATGTTATTTTCGATGTCACATCGGGGTCCAATAGCTGTTCTCTAAAACCGGCGTTTAAGCTATGGACAAAATTAGTTTCATGGGTTACTGAACTCTCCTCTCAATTCGTAGTTCGGTCAGCGGTCGGTGACCCAGACACAAGACTCTAGTCATCAAATTGTCGACTCTAAAATCTCGGATCATCGTATACATAATTAAAGGTTCTTATGCGAAGCATGAAGTCCCTGTTAGGACCCTAAGACGGCTTCGAGTTCCCGATCTACAAGCGCTATAATAGCTCGAGTGATCGCTCTACAGGGCGTCATATAAGCCGACAGGGGTGATTTCGTACCTGACTACTCGAATCTAGCACGTTAGTAGCACAACAGATCGCCAGCGACAAAAACCGTTCATAGTATTGCGCTGCAGATCCAAGACACGAAGAAACATTCTTCGTGATATTACGCTTCCAAATCAATTGTTCTGAGACCTAGCTACCACCCTACCGAGCTTCGCACGGCTCTCCGCATGAGCGGATGTAAACGTGAACAAACAGATACGTACCGCGGCGCCATCTTACAAATCGAATGGCCAACCTAGCCACCAAGTACTTCGCAAAATTTGTCGTAAAATAGATCCGTGACGAAGGGTCTTCAGGAACTAGTCAACTGTTTCCTAACTTACGCTGAACGGTTAGTTGAAATTCGCAGGTAACACCTACAAAGGGGTGCCATCATCTCTACAGCAAAGCCAACCGCACCCGATACCTAATTCCGGGGTCCCCAAAAGCCTCGTGTTGCCCTGGTGCTGCGGAAGTTATCATGCAGGGGGCCCCTTTCCGGCGTCTTCGCCATTCCTTCTCATTGGGACGATCCAGAGCTATGCGGTTTGCAAAAGGCATCGAGGCGCAAATAGCATTGAATGCCACGCCTCACTTTTCCGGGGGAGCTAGTTGTGTGGCTCGCCCATGTCGCCCTCGCAATGATTGTCGGCTCACGCCATTACGGCCCGAGTGCTTGGTCCCGATTCCCGTCCCAGGAACTTGGGTTTGATGCCACCACAGCTTACTGCAGCTAGCTCACAACTAGCTGCCGTTGCCCGTTAAGCTAATAAAATCAAGATACAGATCATTGACCGGTTAGCTATGCAGTTTCTATTTAGGACCTCGGATTCTTTCTAACGCTTTAATGTCACTATAAAGACAAAATATTCTGCTAGCAGAATAGAGGGTTCATGATATCAAGGGAACCCATCCTAAGGGATCTACGAGCTAACAATCTCATTTCCGGGCTCTCGCTAAAAGGTCCATGCGCAAATCATGTTCTGTGGCTTTTCATCCTTGAGCCTGGCAGACCACTGAAGATCTCGTTTTAGATAAGTTGACACTAATTGGATGTATAGTATAGCCGATATTCGCCAAATCGCTCCTTTAGCTACCAATCAACTTGTAATATCTACGAGGTACTTTTGGTACTATCGCGTTATATATCCATAGATTGGACAACTCCCTAAAATGGCAGGATATATGACGATTAGCATATCAAAGTATTCCAATGGGCATAGGCCTTTGCCCATAAGCAAAGATAACCTCAGAAGTTGGTAAGATCAGCTGAAAAGCCTTTCTTTTAATGTCAGAAGCAGATATGAGACCGAGAGGGTGTGCATCAAATCGAACATCTAGGCTCCAGTTCTAGCTCGCTCTACAATATTTGTTCGATAGTGTCAAGGGAACCGTAACAAGCTTGCCCCTTGCCATCGAACATTGTTACCAGGCACATCTACATACTGAGCCAATCAGTCTTTGTCCCGGTGTGATACCAACAAGGGGGTATGTTCGACTTCAAAACGTCGACAAGGTCGGCTTTTTCTTCTTTCGCCCGAAACGGCCTCAGCTGCCGGCAACGCGTGGTCTGCGCATATGCCAAACTTCTCGAATTGGATCAGATAACCAGAGCACCGTCACCCCCTTGCCCACGATTGATGCAACATCGTTTCCAATCGATACCTGCTTCTTGAACCTGTGGGATGGGTAAGCGGTGCTCCGGCGGCAAGGGCGGTTCCCGCGATCTGGGTCGATATGCGTTCCCCGACGATCGCGGCATGGGGGTCAAGCTGGGGGTTGGTTGAGCAAACACGTCCGGGGTCGTAGCCCATAGAGACGCGTCGTGAGTGCGCCAGCCCTGCAATTGATACATCAAGTCGCTGCCGTCAGCCGCCACAACACGGGGGTCAGGACCCCTTCTGTTTTCTTCCAAGGGTCCTTCTAGGGGTCCTTCTAAGGGGGGGTATGGAGGGGAAAAGCTACCCTGATAAGGCTGCTGTAACTCCAACAGCGCCGGAAACAGGATCCCTGGGATGCCGGAGAACGGTTCAGTGCGCGCGCACGTACATTTACACTGGCTTGCACGGGCTGTAAACAGTTAGACGGTTCCAAGTTACATCATCCCGTCGTATAGGGGACCGCCGTGGTAATATCCCGCGCTCCCGCCCTGCATATGGATATTCTTTCTCTTTCTTCAAATATACCGGTATACAATACGAAGCAGCGTGCGACCGTTTGATGACCCAGTAACGGGAAGCCCACGAGGTGCGTGACTGTCGCGACCCGTCCTTCCCTGAGATGGGCTTGCGCAGCTAGGACCCCTGCTACATACAGACCTGGTATATACCTACCTGGGCATACACACATACACATGAGTATATACACATACGGTAGACGGTAGTTACCTAGCTTGGCGCCGATATTCGTACTGTTTTCTACATACCTACATACATACACACACTTGCCTATGCTACTGTTGCCTGCCAGTCAATCTGCTTGCTTGCTTGCTTCCATGCTTGCCTGCCTGGAAAAGTTTCCCAGAACGAGATGGATGGCTGTCTGTCCACCGGAGGTGTGGCGTCCGCATATGTCGTGCACCCCAACCACCCTTGTTCCCCGGCGGCAGCATACCTATCCAATTATTGAATTTCTACGAAGCACGAAATTTTTCTCTCGTGCGGATTTGTCTTTTTCCCCATTGTCCGCGGCGAATTTCCCACGCACGGTTTGATGCGGATCTTCCGCGCGTGAGGCTTACAATACACTACTTGCCTTGTCGTGTCCTTTCCTTTTGTAGGCGATTTGCCATGTTCGGACGATCTCCGGCGCGCACATGCCAGGTACGCAAGCCTGGTTTTGAGGGCGGATCGTCGGCGCTCCGCTTGGTTCCAGCGGGCTAGCAGCGCTGGAAACGACGATGCGCGGCGGATGGGTAGGGTTTCGTTGGGGCACGGAAATTTGGGGTGCCCGGATAGGCATGGTAGGTGGGGAGGAGGCAGACGGATTGGACGGCGGCAGGTTACGGTACCGCATGTAATGTACCTGTCTTTCATGCGCCCCGGTCCACCACCCTACCTACCTCCTACCTACATACCTACATGAATGGATGCTGCTAGCAGGCACATCATGCAAGGCTCTGCAAATGGTGAGGCTTGAGTGCTTCACCCTATCCAGACAAAAAGACGCCTTTCCGTTTTGCGTCTTTTCGCCCCCGTGGACTGATTCTGGCAGATGTCAATGCGTGACGAGTCGACGTCCTGCGACGCACTCGCTATTGTCGCTAAACCACATAGAGACGTTGGAACTAGGTGCCGATGCACCGATGCGTGCGGCTACAGGCAGACGGTCTTCTTTCACCAACCTGCTGAGGTCAAGCACGAGCCGGGCTCGCCTCACTCGCGCGCATTGATGCGTCTTGGCGAGCCCGTAGGAATATCCGAATAGGGGCATGCCATGCTATGCCATGGTCGCCGTTTGGGTTATGGGTCCTTGTCACAATTGCTCAACGGCCTGCGCTACGGCATAAGCGGGTTGCTGTCGGAGATACATATGTGAGTGAGAGGTGACGAGTCTGCGAATACCTTCACCGCCCCTTTTTTTTAAGTGCCGATATTGCCATGGGCGGCTATAGTTTGCTATCTGTTGTCGGCGCCGACTTCCGTTCCATGCCGCGACGTGCCGGTGCCGTAGGGGATCTCGAGCGAGATGCGGCATGGTGACTTTACTGATAGAACTTACTGCTTTGGGGAGTATTCTTGTGTGGTAGTGATTGGGTTATCTGATGAGGGTTTGATGGAGGTAGTCGCGGTTCGCTAAGAAGATGGCTGAGATAAGCTGACGGTATTGATTAGGCTGTTCGCTCTCGAGATGAGGGTTGTGTATTGCTATCACCACCTTCCTCGTCTGTACTATGAGTGTGTAGGACAGAAGTCAGCTCGATTATGGGTTGCTGTCTGAGTTCCTTTCGCCATTTCTATATATACAGCAGAGCTGGTCACGCGTGGTGATTATGAGATAAGCTGAATTCGGCACTTGTGCTTCATGATACCTTCATGCCGGCTATATTCAGGTCTATGCAGTTTGTATAGCCGGATAGATGATGTTGGGTGTGACGAGAAGTTTGCTCTGATGACTGGTGAAGAGCAATCATACTCAAGAACCTATCTTGAATCTCAGCATCAAGCTTGGAGGCACGAAGCGATCTCGCTTCGGGATTTCGAACATTACGCAATCACGTCAAGCCATCGCTGATAGACAACCTCGCTGAGACCTACTCGGTGTTGTCGAGGTGCTTGACTATCCATATCAGCATACTCTATGTCGCCGTTATATATTTAAAAAGATACGGCACGTTGGCATGTTGGTATCATGAGTGAGAACTATCTAGGTAGGGACGATGGGATTTAAGAATGATATCTGCGAGAATTCATATGATACCGAGTGGTCTCAGTCAATCGAGTTTAGCTCCTAGAAGACTTGGACGAGTAACCCCTTTTCTTGCCATTCCAGTCTTGTATGTCGTGTGTTACCAAGGTGAGGTCACTACCAGGACTCATCTATGAATAAAATCCATGTCTACATTATAATTGCCAGAATTTGAGGCAGCGGAAAGCTTGAACATTACTCAATAGTCGCACCTGCCTTACTAGATGAGTGTTCGAGCCCTTCTTGGTTCAAGGCAAAAATAAAAAGAATACACCGTACCCCGGACTCGAACCGAGAATCTTCGGCTATTATTGTTAAGCAACAATGATAGAAGGCCGACGAGTTAACCATTTCTCTAGTACGGCTTGAGGATAATCTGAACTATTGACACTTATCAAGGGACAGGGAAAGAGCAGACGTCATGGAAGGCAGTGCCTTTAGACAAACACTTACGACAAACGCCAAGATAAGATGATAATACGCATGTAGGCTTCTTCGATCTATCGAAGCTACATCTTGATTTTTATGACTAATTTACATAATAACTACATAGGTTGCAGCATATAGACCTTTTTATACACCTCTAGATAGTTCATTCCCTTATGATACCATATTAATGATTACCTAATCAGACGAGCATCGTCAGGACATCCGGTGATTGGTTCAGGGTCTAAGGACATTCAGGGTATTCTGGTTACACAAGCATAATCCTCCCTAATCTGACCCGATATAACACCGACGCATTTGCGCCGCTGCACCTGAAAATAGTTGCCCGCAGGCTGCGAGCATTGCGTCGACGGTCGGGCTCGCTGTGCCCCCAGGTCCCAGGAATCGGCCGCATTTCCTAATTTGACCTTTATTCCTTCTTCTTGGACCATCAACATATACGTCTTAATAATGATACAATTGTACTGCCGTTCCTATTTCAGCATCACGCAATTAACATCTAAGTATAGGTAGAGTATTCTTGATCGCACTTAGTCATCATAAAGATGCCGGCCCAAATCACAGACTTCACAGATAGTTTGGTGGTGGAAATTGGTTCTGGGAGTGCTAACGAAAGCATCGTGAAACTAGAGGTTGATGAAGAGAAGTCTAATGATTTTGACAAGACCTCGTGGGGTATCTTTGCTGGGGACATAATATGTTATGGTCCTTGGGATGACGAGAATCTGTTTGCTCGCGTGAGGAATAGCGAAATGAAACGTGACCATAGCATGGGAAGATACAGATGGTACATTAACTACTTATTGAAGATTATAAATAGTGTGGGAAAGGTAACTAGCCCCCACCTCCTTTTCTACTTTTACTAAAATGATCTGATAATACTGACGTATCATATCGATCTAGCCATTAGGTTACTCAAGAAGGCTACGCCAACCATCCTACGAACTGGGTGGCGGCGAACTATCATGCCCTAGCTTGACAGATAGTTCGACAGTTTCGGAATCACCCTTCTGGATAAGTGCAGCCCTCAAAAGACTAGGTCGTTCTAATCCTTCAATGTCTCTAGATGAGGAGGCTAAACGGAGAGATCTTGGAGAAAGCACATATCCTCGGAAGCAGTATCGGATTGAGACCATAGCTTTCAATGGGCTAGGGGCCCGGTTTTGGACATTGCCTAGCCGTCTAGAACATTTGGATTTATCTGATGCCGAGTCTTTAACGGATACGTCATCCGAGGACGACGACGAGGAAGAGGATGACCCTTTTGATATTTTACACCAAGCGATCAGGAAAGCATTTTCACCCAATACGCAACTAGCGGAGAAGATTATAAATTACCTACATCAACTACCACCAGATCGCCGAGCCCAAGTATATGGGTACGGATATCATACTACTTCAGCAGGTGATAGCCACGGACCCGGTCGCCCTCATAATCAGGATTGTGATGGGGATGACTCTAGAAGGAGAAAAAGAAAAAGAACCAATGATCCCTCCCCGAGTAGTTCAGGGAACAATCAAGTTGACGAGGATAATGACCAAGAGAATCAACTGGAAGTAGCCCGACATCCTTCTACAGCACCTCCTGAAAAGAGGTATGCTTGTGCGTATTACAAGTCTGATGGGGGCAAATATAGCCCAAGAGCTGGATCGCGATATAAATCGTGTGCCGGCCCTGGGTGGAAATTACTCAACCACTACAAGTCTGTATCCCCACGTATACATGACCATACGCCTAAGCTAATTCTAGACAAGGCGTCACTTAGAGCGAGTCCATCTTCTACATCAATGTTCTCGATGCGGAGAGATTTTCGAGAAGTCAGATGTGCTCCATAGTCACTTGGCCCGAGACCCAAGATGTAACAGATCAGAAGGTATCGAGCCGGAAGGCATGTCTCAGCAAAGATGGGACGAATTAAGAAAGATATTCAAAAAAACACCCAGACGACAAGATAATCCTTCAGATGAAGAGAAGTGGTTCCTCGCTTGGGACTTCCTATTCCCTCACATGGAAAGACCTCCTACACCTTGTGAGTCGAAGATACTCTTCTTTTATATTAGAACTCACACATATTATAGACATAACAGTCATGATTCTATCATTCTAACTAGAGACATACAGACTATGAGAAAACACCTCTCCATCCTGCATTCACTCGAATGCAGGGAGTCTTCGAGGCTAGCCTAAGCACTATGCCACTGATAGCCCATAATCCTGGTGCACAAGATGAAATTATGAGCTTACTCGCGAATGCTATTGAAGCAGCAACTCAAACAGCTCCCCTAGAGTTAGAAGCATACAACCATAATAACGATCTCCTACCGGCGCCACCACCGATTTTGGACAATCCTCAAATGGGACAAAATAACTACATCGAAGCAAACCCACATGATTTTGGAACTGCATTTGATTGGAATCATATAGACCCAGGTCTTGAAAATGGCTCTATAAGCAATGATCCGTTCGCGGATTACGTATTGGATCTGGATGCATTCGAAGCTGATGTGGACGCGAACGGCGACGCTGAAGGTACATGTAAGTACCCAAGACACTCTACCGATATCATTACACTTTCCGAAAAAGGTATTAACGGTGATATTAGAGAAGTAAAGTCTCTACTTTCGGGTCTCCATCTGGTGATGAGCTTCTGAAGCATGATGTTAGGAACCAACCACATTTTAGGATTTTGATCCACTAGGCCATGACCCGGAAGAACTATATTCCGGGGGCCCTTTGTAAGTAATGGGATAGGGGGCTTGTAGGCTCCTTATACGAGGCCTTGGAAGCCTCTTGTTAAGAATTGATAAAAGGGGTCTTAAATATATAGGTATTTTAGGATAGGTTTGAATAGCCTTATTATATTTTCTTTATATATAAGATAAGGTCTTTTATTTCTTATTATATTTAGATATTTAAATAATAATTAATTTAAATTTATAACCATTTTTTGAAATATTATAAGGAAGATTTTAATAAATCTTTTAATAATTATTTATTCTACTTTATTATTACCTATAAATTAAGACCTTTAAATAATAAATTGTTATACTTTGACTATTCTTTAATTAATAAAGAGAATTAAAACTATAATTATAATATAAATTAAGAATTATTAATAAATTTTAAAAGATTTCTTTATAAAGAAGAAAAAAATAAAAAAATAATAATAAAGAAATAAAAAATAAAAATAAAAATAAAAAATAAAAATAAAGAATCTTAAAATGATAGTAAAATTTAAAAATATAAATCTTTAAAAGGAGAAATTATTTAATTAATTAATGAATTTTTATTATTTAATATTAATTTATTTTAATCCTTTATAATTTTATTAATATAAGAAGGTAATCTTAATAATATCAAAATATCCATTATTAAAAAAACTTAAAACTTAAAAATAGCTTTTTAAAATTTAACCTAATGTCTGAAAGAAACTAAAAAACTTATTAAAATCTTAAAAAGAAGAATAATCTTTAAAGAATATAAACCTAAGGTTTTTAAAAGTTATTTAAAAATTAAAGATTTTAAAGGATTCTTTATTTAAGTTTATATTTTTCTCCTTTTTTATTATAATAATATTATAAAAGAAGAATATAAAATTTTAATTATTATTTGAGATTTTATTAGTAAAGTCTTAAATTGATTTATTCTTATTATAAAAGAATATTTAAATATTAAATCTAATAAAATTAACCTAGAAATTATAAAGATTTTTAAGAGTTATAATATTTTTAAGAAAAAGTTTAAAGGAATGTTTAATAATTTTGATTAAAAAAGAATTATAAAATAATAATTAGGATAATTTAAATAAATTAAATTTGTTATTATTTATGTTATTGATTTTAAGTAATTTGTTGTTAGAATTAATATTGATCTTAATAATCTTTATATATTATTTTATTATAGTCTAAAAGAATATGTTAAAGATAAAATTTATAAATAGGAGAGACCTATTTAATTTAATAAATATATGGAAATGATTATTTTTATTGATAATTGATAGTATAAATATAAATAAGAAAAATATTAAGGAATTTCTTTTATATATATTAATAAATGAAAGGGGGTTAATAAGAAAAGATTTAATATTATTTATAGAAGTTATTTAGGATTTATAGAGTTTGATATTATTAAGATTTTAAAGAAGGATAAATCTAAGATAAAATGTTATAATTATAAGAAATTAGGATATTATAAAAGTAAATATAAATTTTTAAAATAAGAATATAAAAAAAGAGGAATTTTGGAACCTAAATAATAGGCTAATATAGTTTAATTTAATAAGATTATTAATTTTATTAATATATATTTGGATTTTAATTTAAATATTAGATCTTTTTTTATTAAATTAAATAAAGGATAGGTTTTTATTATTTTAATAATTAATATAGAATTTTAAATTTAAAAAGATTATTATTATATTTATCTTATTTAAGAAGAATAGAAAAATTAAATCTATCTTTTATATTTTATATCTATTTTATCTTATTTAGTTAAAAATAATGGGTATATTTATAATTAAGGTAAATATTTTAATTATAATCTTACCTATGTCTAATAGTTAAATGCCTTTAAGGATTGGGATGAAGATATGGTTGGGATATTTAAATATCAGGTTTTATCTATTAAAAGTTACCTAATTTAAGATTATCCTAGATATATTGACAGGTATAAATTATGAAGGCTTAAGGGAGATACTCCTAAATCTACTATTTGTATATTTAATAATTATTAATATGGATGGCCTGTTGGATTAAATTATCTAAAAGGATGGTTTTATAAATATAATTAATGTTCTTATTATTATCCCAATTATTTAAGAGGATGGTTTTATGATTAGTATATTTACCAACTTTATAAGAAATTTAAACCAACCATATATAACAAATTAACTTAAATTAATATTAAAGAATTTTATTT